GTGACTTATTCAGCCATGCAAAGGCTTAAAGTCATCGACTTTATGGTTTAAGAGGCTTAGAAATGGTCAGATCTAAAAGTTGGACGTGGGTCTTAACCGTTTAAGACGTAAAAGAGGTAAGGTGCTGAAGCTGGGAGTACGTCGGGCGTAATCCCAATACGCGACGCATACTAGGTAGCATCCCCCGATCTTGAAAGGCAGTCGGGTACGCCCAGCGTACACATCTGGTACGCGCAGCATAACCCGGAAAGTTGACTTTTGAGTCGACTTTTAGGGTATGGTCTATTGTGGGGCCTTTGAGATATGAGAGGGGTAAAATGGTCTTTTACCATTCTGAGAGTGTCATAAGAGCACATAGTCTAGCCTTTGAGAGTTATAATAATTAGGGTATTTATTTTTATTAGGCGCAGGTTAGACCAGCGTTACCGAGTCAGAGATTACCGAGATACCCGAGGTGAGTCTTCTCACTATACTTTACCTAGTGTGGTAACAGAGTTATGTGATAGAGTATTTTAGAGTTATATGCCAGTGTAATTGAATGTTATTTATGTGCTATGATTTATTGTGATATGTGTTATGCATGATTCAGAGTTACAGAGTTAGGACCTTCGGATCCACAGAGTTAGGACTTTCGGGTCCACAGAGTTAGGGCCAGAGGGCCCATAGAGAGTTGGGGTTGGAGGGCCCCACCGAGACACCTAGACCTGAGGGTCAACAGAGTTACAGCCTCGAGTGGCTATTATGTGTTAGAGTGGTATTTTGGGGAACTCACTAAGCATTTATGCTTACAGTGTTATTGTGTTTCAGGTACCAGTGATGATCGCGGGAAGACGCTGGCATGATTCGTACACACGCACACCGGAGTTTATATATATATATATATATATATATATATATATATATATATATATATATATATATATATATATATATATATATATTGATCTTGGGTTTTGTACTGATACAATGTTGATACAATGTTTTATTTATGATTACAAATGATATTTTATGGGTTACAAAAGTGAAAAATTGTTCAAATTTTTACGGTGTTACAGCTGTGTTTACTTTTTTTTTCTTTCTTTTTTCTACAACTTTTGTGTATAATTCACTTCATATTGAATATAGATAAGTTGATAGTCAAATAACCCTAAAACCGTGTCTTTCCAATATATAAGTTCACATTAATTCAATTTTTCTAATATTTTGTAATTTTTTTGGAATCTTATACATTTAGTTCTCTCCCAACTAAAGTGGTAGAGATTTCAGATATGAACGAATCACAAGGAAGACAATTACTCTTCTTCAGAACCATGCTCCTAATGGTTTGACTATAAGGAATATGGTTACTTCTTTGTATTAGCATCGTCTCTTGAAATGTCAACTGTTGAAGAAAGTTGCTAGAGTTGTTGATGTCATGAGTCTAAAAACCAATGCCATTAAAACTGCTTGAGGTTGTCAAAGTGAAAACTAATAAGGTTATGGTCAGGGTCGATAATGTACAACACTAATCGATATATGTTAGTTTCATGTAACCCACAAGACAAGACTATCAAACACAACCTGGTTAAAGGGTTATATGCAATAAATAACAATTTATTTACATTCGTATATGTATTTACATTTATTTATGTAATATTATGATTGTAGCATCCAATGTTTCATTTGTTTGTATCTAGTGCAACGTGGTACTTCTAGTTTTGTTTTTTTTTTTTTCATATGGAGACATTATAATGCCACCTATATACAATGATTGAGTAAAAACTCTCATCTATTGTCAAGTTTAAGTAAAAAATGAATTATACCTTTATTTTTGTTTCAGGAGTTGACCATTAACTGTGAAGCCCAATCGGACCAAGAAGTGAATGCATTTATAATGTTTCTTGCTTGGGAAATTGTAAAAGAGGGCTACATATAGGGTAAATTTAAGCATGTATTTTTTACATTTCATTTTTTCAAGCCAGTATAAATACTAACATATTTGAAATTCATGTCAATAGAATTTGATCATAAATTTTGAGTGCAGACATGGTTCTGCTTCATGGAGGGCAGAATGGGACTGTTAATGACTAAAAAAAAACATAAGAGGTGAGTAGAACAAACACTTAGAAAAATCTATTTTCCTAAACATGCCAGTAGCAAATATTACCCGATTACTTTTGATCTAAAAGAAAATTTGTTATTCATTAACTCAAAAGAAGACCCTTCTGACAGATTTTAGTTTTTCTTATCGCCCTTCAGTTGAATGGGTTATGTTTAATCCACCCACTTGACAATTAACTCCTTTCTTTAATGATTGTAATTCATCCAACACCATTAAAACTTGTAGAAGAAGAGATAAATCAAATATGTTGTTACTAATTATTTGCACCAAACACCCATATACTGAACCATATATTAAACTTCTTGCAATATGCTCTTTCTTTTGGACATAAAACTTGGTAATCTCGGTGAAATCTTATAGTATCTAGGAACATATTGAAGATTTGAAACAACACAATAAGTAAATGCCTAAAAATTTCAAAATGGCCAAATTAATGCTCTACTCAGTTGATTAACAGTATGGTGTGGATTTAGGTATGTGAGTAGCAACTGATAAAAAAGTTTCAAGTGCGCCTTTCATATTACTTAACTCCAACTTTTTCCTTGCTCATGTCCTTCAATTTTTATTCAAATAAAGGAAAAGGAACCAACTTTTTGTATGAATCTATTAGTTGAATGTTATATTTCAAAATTTCTACATGCAAGAGATGGCAAGCATAACCACCCTCCATAATTCTTAGAAAAAGAAGATGCATGAGAATACTTATCTCCTTTAAAGCAAACATAAATATAAGAATGTTCATCAAGTTGAAGAGCATCCATAGGTCCTTCAATCTTCTCAGAGACTAATCAAAATAGTAGGTCATATTAAACAATCATGTTTGGAAGACGCCAAAAATAAGAACAAACAGATGAAAAATAATTAAACATACCGCTTCATATTCGAGAAGACAAGGGCTTACTCCAGTCACACATTATTCTAAAAAATTGGTGAAAATCAAAGAAATATATTTAGTAATTTTTGACATTATACAAAACTATAACACACTAAGACCATTATTTGTAATTTTGTTTGTGTTTTTAATTGATAATTTCTTTGAAAAAAATTACATGCCCAAGTTTCGAACACATTAATGCAATTTCCGTGTAAAAAATTAAAATTCCAAGCACCACTGAGAAGAAAACAAAAACAAATGTTAGAGACGTAGAAATCAAGCCAAATCCAGACCTTATATCTGTGAAAATCGTTTTTTAGGGAGAGAAAGTAGGTGAGAAGTAATTGTGATAACGGGAGCGGTGGTATGTGAATAACGGCGATATACTAAAACGTAGTGGACTAAGAAGGGTGGGAGAAACCTGGAGATGAGAACTGGTAATGCAAATGACAAATGTTGTGAAGAACAAGGCTTTAATTTGCTTCTTCCTCAATCTCAATGGAAACATCTTTGCCAATCTCCGACATTGAGAATTACGGGAAACACACATGCCATGATGGGTCAGTGCCTAGAATACCGATTCTCAAAAACCCAAATCACTTGTAAAAGTTGTGCATGGCCTTAATAAATTAGCAAAAGCAAAACGTTCCATCGGATGTACCCTATAAAATCATTCTATGAATAACAACAATAAACCAAGATTTTTTTTTTCCAAATTGACACAAATAGAATCCGACGAAAATGAAGAACATGTGAGTTTGGTTTTAGTAAACCAAAAGCCCTAATTTCAGAAATTAAGAAAAAGAAAATATTCAGATGGGATCGATATCTGTCAATGAGGGAAGAGAATTGTTTTACTGGTTGCAATCTGTGAAGAGAATCTTTTTACTGGTTGAATCTGTAATAGTTTTAATCTACGAAATTAAGAAGAAGGTGAAAGATGTCTGGCGAGGATCAATATTTATAGATGGGATAAAAGTTCATCAGATCATTGTAGTTTGTAGGCCGGCAATTGACGATTAAGAAGCGGCAGGGTATGAAAATTCAAGTCTTTGGTATTCAAATTGGCGCCATCTGCTCTTCTCCAAACTCATCTCACGCGCTGTACGCGCTCTTACAAAAATAAGGTTTTTGTATATAATAATGATATGCATATATATATATATATATATATATATATATATATATATATATATATATATATATATATATATATATATAGGTAGGGTCAAATGTTTCTTACATCTATTGTGTTATAGAATGCACCAATAAGAATTTTGTAAACATTAAATGTATATTAAATGATATCCATACTTATAATTTTGTTTATGGAAACTAATTAAATTCGTCAATAATAATATTCTTTCATAATGAATTCATATATAGAATAATAAGAGTGTATTCAAGCAGAACGAGAGTATATTCTACTAGAATGCACCATCATTCTTCATATTTCATACAACTTTATTGTATTTTAAGTGAGTGAGTTCTGAAAGAATGTTATTGCTGACATAAAAACCTAGATACGAGTTTATTCTGAAAGAATTTTATTGTTCATCTTAATGACGAATTTAATTAATTTCCATAAAGAGAAAATTATAATTATAGATATCATTTAATATATATATATATATATATATATATATATATATATATATATATATATATATATATATATATATATAGGGAGAGAGAGAGAGAGAGAGAAATGATCATTTGAGAACTCATAGTTTTCCAAAAACACGAGAACTATAAGTGGAACGTTAGATAAAAAAAAGGAACAGTCAAGATACATTGTGACATTTTTATAAATAAATGAAAAAAATAAAGGGGCGATGGTACATTAATAAAATAATATTGGGGGTATTTTAGGGATCTAGAAAATGAACCATGGAATAAACTGATCAGAACCCTTTTTCATGTCACAATAGCATTTTCGATTTCTGATTATGTACCTTTCGCGGACGGACGAACTCTCTATATACCTTACGCGACCACCAAAGATTGATCTCCGCCTCATCTCTGATGACTCATTTTACATCACCTCCTTATCTCCGACGAGATCAAAGAATCTATATGTTTGACAGTTACAGATTTTCTGAAGACGAGATCAAAGTCCTTATCGACGGAGACAATTCCTATACCCAGCTTACCGGTCGTATCATCCACCAATTACTCGATGAACGCGTCCAATCGTCGGAGCCTGGTGACTTCCTCGCCGTTCATTACAACGGACATGACACTCGCCTTCCTGCCGAAACGGGTGACGATGACGATATTGGATATGAGGAGTGTATCGTTCCAAACGACTTCAACCTAATTAATGGTATGATACTTTCTTCGATTATGTTCTTGTGATTGATTAGAATTTTATCTTTGTTTTACTAAATTATATCTCAGCATCAATGGATTTAGGGTTTGTATGAGGGATTTAGTAGTTTGACGTCAAGTTTTATCAGCGAATTGTCTAAATTCTAAGCATTCAGATTAATCGTGTGTCCGCCATTACCGATTATTGCTCCCAATTCCGACAATTTTCCGACATCATGTATGTGACAACCCGATATTTCAACTCTATGTAATGACCTAAAAAGTCAAGTATTGTGACCACGTTTGTTATAATGAAATTAACTTCAAAAATAAAATGTACAAAAATTACTAATTAAATGACCTATTATGTTAGATGTCATTAAACTGTGATCGTACGTAAAAAGAACGCCCAAATCTGACTTCGTATAAGGAAGTTATGAATTTTCCAAGTTCAGCTTAACAATGGACAGCTAAAAAAAAAACTCGAAACGGAGATCGAGTTACTTTTGACCGGAATGACCTAAATGAGAATCGAAGGTCTCGAAAATGGTTTTTCAACGGTAAAAATTCTGGCAAAAACAGACGTCAGATAATGTAGTTATAATTTCTAATGAAATTTTCATATCACGACCTTTTAAAAATAAATAATAAAAATAATTTCAAAATTTTCCGACGGAATCTAACGAAAGTTTTAGAGTATAGTCTCACCTACGCGTGGATATAAAGAACGTCGAAAACGGAGTTCGTATGAAGGAGATATGAATTTTTGAAGTTTATTAAATATTAAAAATATGAATTTTAATTTAATTTCGGTATTATCCGAAGGCTGAGTCACGGGCTGATCCGAGTTACGCCCAGCGTACTCGAGGCCTAGGCCTCGGATCGTCCACGTCGCCCCTATGCGAGGCTATGCCCCGTCCCATCCGGAGTCCGAAGCAGTTGAGGATGTGGTCACGCATGACACATGAGTACGCCCAGCGTACCGAGGTGGTTCCCACTCCCTATAAAAGGGATGCGAGGGTTCTAAAGAAAAGGGCCAATTCCTCTCATCTTTCTTGCGTTTTTGCCTCGTTTTCCTTGCACGTTCTATCCCGAAGTCCCGGTTTCCTTGTTCAAGTCCCGAAGGTCGTTTGTGCTCCTGAGATTCCCGAGAATCTCGAGAAAATCCACTTTCTCGAGTCGAAATTCTACTCGGTTTTCATCTCGGTTTCTTCGATTTTTCAAGTGGGTTCATACCCCTATAATCCACACTTTTAAATATTTTATAAATACTTTTATATGCTTTTAAGGGGGGGAATACAAGTAAAACACTCGATTATTATCATGTGTTATATAAAGTTTCATTATACGTTTTTTATCAATGGAATCATATGTGATTTATAACTATTATAGGGAAACTTTCGTATGCAAAATATACCACGATAACATCTTATCTTTTAAAATAAGAAATGATTTATGCATTTATGTAAATCAAACACTCTGCTTATACTGTATGTATATGTGTTCGTTTTGGGACTACAAAAATTAAACTTTTCATAACAAGTGAGCATTTCACTAGGGATTACAATACAAACGAAACGCACTTTTAGAAAACTATAATAGGTATAGTTTTACGAGAACACTACGAACTTTTATATATTGGAAATACTATTTCAAGAAGTTACTTTCACATACAAGAACCAACGAACATTTTCACATGTAAATCTGTTTTATACTAAGTTTTGTGAGACATTAAACTTCATGTACACTCGAGTACACATTTCAAGTCCTGTATTATATACCAGAATCCCTTGGAGGGGGAGCATGGTGTTTGTGTATAGATCTATACGGGATTGACAACCCCGCACCCTGACTGTTAGCTACAGTACACCATTTGGGGTGACAAACGTCAGAACATTCCAATGCCTGAAGAACGTTGTGTATAGGCATTTCTAGTCAATAGCATGGTTATAAAACTCACATAGAGTATTAAAAACACATTGATTTACGGGGTTTTTCAGACGTATTGGAGATTTTATACGTACATAAATTAACTACTTTAGGCATGGAAAACCTAATCGTGATACAAGTTTGGAACTTCTAAACCACTACTCACAGATGGGAAAAACATCAACTTTCTAACAAACATTGGTCTTGATTTAAGGCTACATTTATACCAGTAGGAAATATGGGATTTTCTAGAAACTATCAAACAATAGCAACCGTTTCATTTTAGTTCATACAAATACTATCATTTAATACTTATGACACTCACCAACTTAAATGCTGATCTACTCTTTCAAAACTACTTGTATGTCCCAGGGACTCAGTAATGACAGGTACCAAACCGCTTTTTGAAGAAGGAACGCTGCGGCACCATTTTAAATTCATATTTTTGGCATCATATTGTAATTGGTTTTGAACATGTACTCTTTTAACAATGTAAACTTTCAATCATATATATGATGGTTGTATTGCTTTCTTTACTATGTATTCATTTGTTACGTTACCACATGAAGTCATCCGCTCCCGAACGTTTCCGTTGTTCCGGTTTGGGGGTGTGACAATGTAATTGCTCTGCTCTTCCCTACTGCATTCCGAACACTTTTCATGGAATTACTCTCATACACATTATTTTGATGCACACAACATTAACACAATTGACAACACCCAATGAAATTCGCAAATTACTGCATTGCGAACACTTTTCGTGGAATTACTCTCATACACATTATTTTGACGCACACAACATTAACACAATTGACAACACCCAATGAAATTTGCAAATTACTGGCATCATTGTGTCATCTGTTTATTGACACATTATAATCACTTCTCGTAAATAAAATCAAGTACAATATTATAGGGATATATAAAATATTACATGTCTTATGAATAAGAATGGTTAATCTCATCTTGACTTGTTTGTTGTGTACTTTGGTCTAATATATAAAATATTACTGGGATGCAGACACATTAGGAGAAGGAGAGTTGGTTCATATCTGTATCTTGATGTAAAGATCCAGGTGACTTACCTACCTCATAATCAATTTCATTTTCCATACAAATAGATTCTTTATTTGATTGCATTGAATTTCAAGTTGATCCTTTGTGTAGTGTGAGAACAGCACATGAAATTAGTGAAAGTGTTCATTATCAGATTCAGAATTGCCATCCTCAAGTCTCTGAAGTCTTCATATACTTGGGTATGTTACTTGTTTATTACATAGTTTATAACTAAACTAGGATTCTTTATTTTATTTACTTGACGAAATCAATCTACAAGGTTTGCAAAATCTCCATTGTAAATGTCATATACGCATATTTCATCGAGATATCACAGCTTCAAACATTTTTAATGGAAGGATATGAACCACAGGTTAATTAATTTTATAATTTTCTCTTTAATTACCTCCATCGATGCAAGCAGCCTATATATATATATATACACACACACACACACTATTTGTTTCATTCATATATTGGGTTAACCAGTGCACTAGGTCCTATTTTTCTAAATGGATCTCTATTTTATATGTGTTGGTATTGATGAATTTAATATGAATCATAAATATAGTTATGCATATTTGATTTATATAAAAGTATAATGCACTGGTTAATCTGGTTCGAATAGTGGACATATATATGTTTTTATTGGGATGATCTAGTTAATTAGTTGTTATGATTGGCTAATCTAGTTCTAAATTATGTGTGATGTTATAAAGAACTTAGATATGTTATTAATAATTTTGCATATCTAGGAATTTCCTTGATTTCATGTAGAAAGGGAATGTTTACCTCCACCATTTGAAAGATGTACAAGATTTATTTCTCCTCTTCCTTTTCCTTTGAAGTTCCAAGTTAGGAAGGGATTTATTATGGAGTGACTATAGGAGTTATCTTCTTTGGAGCATCATTTTTGTTTGTCACACTTGACAATCAGATTGTCATTTCGGATGATCTCACTTTCTTCCTTATCTTCTCTTGACTTCCTATTTGATCTACTTTCTCCTATTTATTTTCCATTTCTTAAAGTTACCACATTGACATTTCGGTTATTTTCTGTTTGAGAAGGTAGTTTACCACGAGTTTCCAACTTTCTTAAGGATATGAATTATCTCCTAATTGAGCTTTAAGATTGAAGATACTAGTCCTTGTCATCAAGATACATCCTAAAGCTACTTGGTTGGGACAGATGGGGTTCTTGGTTATGTTGTTAAGGAGATGGTTGATGGTGTGGTTTGGGTTGATAATGGGGTTGGTGTTGTGGGTGTTGGTAAATGGATTATTGTTGTGGGTAAGAAGGTCTTATCAAGGCATTTTGAGGTAGTGGTCTTGGGTTGTAGCTTATATTAGGATTGGGCTTCGAACTTGAATTGTATGTATTTTGGTAACTGGATGTCTTGTTGTGGTAATTTTGAAATTTTCATGTGGCATTCACGTGATCCGCATCTTCTTGAATAATATGACACATATCCATTGATGTCACATTGTTGCACAAATACCACAAGCCATAAGCTTAAATTGATGTTTGACATGACCAATTCATTGACTTTTTGATGTGTGTCCTTCTTCATGTCTTGGCATGAACAGAGTGTTAGGAATCTACGACTATGTTGTTGAAGAGTTGTCTTGTTTGTTGATGAGTTTTGCAAAATACATCTCCACCACTTGAAGAATCATCAAGTCTTTTTTCCATGGGAAACAAAACCTTCAAAGAAATGTTAAATGAGGAGTTTCTCGAGTATTTGGTGTTGTGGGAAACTAATACAAAAACTATTGAAACTCTCCCAATAATCATGAAATGTCTTGTTTTGGCCTCGATGGATTCCACAAATCTCATTTCTAAGACTTAAGACTCTAGAAGCGAGATAGAACTTGTCAAATAACGCTCTTTCCATATCGGTCCAAGAATTTATTGACCCCGGTGGAAGTTAAAATAACCAATCATTTTCTCTATCATCCAAAGAGAAGCGGAATGCCCTTAGCTTGACTTGGTTATCGGTTGACCCTTATGGCTTCTCATGTAACTGATATGGAACATCTTCAAATTCTTGGGACAGTCTTCA